CCGCAGGTGTCCCCGGGTGTCCCCAGGTGTGTCTCCAGGTGTCCCCAGGTGTCCCCACTCACACGTCGCTCTCCCAGCCCCGTCCCGGCCGCGTCAGCTGCTCCAGGAGGCTCTTCCCGCCCTCGTTCGGACTCTCCACCTTTTTTTGGGGGGTGGGGTGGGGGAGGGTGATGTTGGGGGGCCCCTCCCCGTCCCGCTCCCCCCCCGTGCCCTCCCGCACCTGCTCCAGCGCGCTCTCGATCAGGTTCACCAGGGTGGGGCTGGTTCTGACCGCGAACCGCTCGGCCCCTGCGGGGGGAGGGGAAACGGGGCTCGGGGGGGGTCGGGGGGGGGGGGGGGGGGGGGGAGGGGCGGCGCCCCCCCACCCCCCCAAATCCGGGCAGGGGGAGGGGGAGGGGCGCACCCAGCACGGCCCGGTCCAGGCTGATGTAGGCGGCGACTTTGGTGTGCAGGAGGTCGGGGTAGCCCTGGGGGGGCCGGGGGGGTCAGCGCGGGCTCAGCGGGGTCAGCGCGGGGGGGGCGCGGGGGGGCGCGGTCACCTCGAGCCACTCGGTGGCCCCCAAATGTCCGAACTCGCCCCCGTCCCAGCTGGCGAAGAGCAGCGTCCGGCGCAGCTGGAACCCTGCCCGGGGGGACGGGGGGGTCCAGAGGGGCTGGGGGAGACCCCCCAAAGGCGGGGGGTGCGAGGCAGGGGTGGGGCCCCCCCAAACCCCCCCCCCCCAGGACCCTCCCAAGGCTGGGACCCCCCATTGAGCCCCCTCCCCCACCCTGCGGGCCCCTCTGAGGCCCCCCCCTCAATTTGGGACAACCTCAGAACCCCAAACTCCCCAATGTCCCCAAATCGGGGACACGCCCCAGCCCCGCCCTCACCCTCTCGGCCAATGGCGGCGAAGAACCGGGCGAGCTCCAGCAGGAGGGCGGTGCCCACGCCCGAGGCCGCCGCCCCCGGCCCCAGCGAATCGCGTTGGGCCCCCACGATGACGTAACAGTCTGGGTGGGGCCGGCGTCAGGGAGGCCACGCCCCCTCCAGCCACACCCACCACACCCATGCCCATTGGCCCCGCCCATTTCTCACCCCACAATGACCCTGCAGTGGCCACGCCCCACTGGCCACACCCATCCAGCCACGCCCGACCCAACCCCGGGATTTCCATTGGCCCCCCAACCACGCCTGTGCTCTGACCACACCCACCCTGAGCACACCCAGCCTGACCACACCCACCGGCCACACCCACCGACCACACCTAGATTGGCCACGCCCACCCTGAGCACACCGAGACTGACCACACCCACCCTGAGCACGCCCCTTCACCCCAAACATCCGCACCCACCGGCCACACCCAGATTGGCCACACCCACCGACCACACCCACATGACCACGCCCCCCGTGGCCCCGCCCCTCACCGGGCTCCAGCCGCCCCCGCAGGGCCCCGAAGACGCTGGTGAGGGTCCCGGGGCGCGTGCCCCCCCCCACGCTCAGCTGCAGCCGCCGCCCCCCCGGGCGGGGCAGGAACCGCAGGGCCCCCCCCGGGCCCCGCCCCGGCGGCATCCAGTGCGGGGGGGCCCGGGGACCCCCCAAAACCCTGGAATGGGGAGGGGGAGATGGGGTCGGGGGAGTTTCAGATTCGGGGGTGTCCCGGGTTTGGGATGGTCCCAGGTTTGGGGAGGGGTCCCAGGTTTGGGGAGGGGTCCCGTCCGTACCGCAGCAGCTTCGCGGCCACGTTGGCGCTGATGGGGTGGGCGGGGATCGGGGGCACCCCCGGGGGGGGCCCGGGGGGGGCGCGGCCGGTGAAGGAGGGGAACCCCCGGCTGAAGGGGTCCCCCGCCCCCTCCTGCACCTGCGGGAACACGTCAGACCCCCGACCCCCCCCCAAAAACACCCCCCAGGCTCCCCCGAGCCCCCCAAACCCCCACCCCAGCACCACCAAACTCCCCCCACGCCCCCGGATCTCCCCCCAGCACCCTCAGAGACCCCTCCCAGCCCCAAAACTCACCCCCAGCCCCCAGGGACCCCCATATCCCCCCCAGTGTCCCCCTCCAGGACTCACGTGGACGGTCACGGCCGTGTCCCCCCCCAGGCCGGGGCCTCCCCCGGGCCCGGCCGTGTCCTGGGGGTCCGGGTACAGCAGGACCCCCACGGCCCCCGCCCCCGCCGCCGCCGCCACCTGCGGGGGTCCCAGATGTGTCCTGCACCCCCGGCTTTGGGCTCTCACCTTTGGGGTGGGGTCCCCCACCCGAGTTCGGGGTCTCACCTTCTGGGCGGGGCTGCCCCTCCCCAGCCGCAGCAGCATCAGGTGACCCCGGGCCGAGACCCCCCGGGCCCGCAGCTCGGCCAGGTCCTGGGGGCGGCCGTAGTGGCCGTAGACCAGCCCCCCCTGCGGGCCAGGGGGCAGCGGGGGTCAGGGGGCAGCGGGGGTCAGCAGAGGTCACCAGGGGTCAGAGGTCACCAGGGGTCAGAGGTCACCAGGGGTCAGAGGTCAGCGCTCACCGTGGCGTTGCCGGGGACGCTCCAGGCACAGAAAGCGTCGGGGTCGAGGCGGAGCCGCTCCAGCTCCTCCCCCTCCGGCCCCACCCAGCGCAGGGTCACCTCCCCCCTGGGGTCAAAGGTCAGGGGTCAGCCTGACCCCCCCACCCCACCCCGATGACCCCCCCGACCCCCATTACCGTATTGGGAGGGGGAGGGGCTGTGGGCGGCTCCAGGCCCGGGTCAGCCCCGCCCCTGCCAGGGCGCTGAGCACGGATTGGGCCAAAGCGCGGCCACGCCCTGACCCCGCCCCGTGCGGCACCGCGCTGACCTCCCTGCGGACAGCGGGCAGTGGTCAGCGGCGGCACCGGGGTCACTCGGGCTCAGGGAGGGCCGGTGGCCAGCAGTGGTCAGTGGTCACTCACCGCACCCAGGCCTCCACCCGCTCCTCCGACAGGTGACGCCGCAGCAGCTCCCGCAGGCGGGGCCGGGGGGGCGGAGCCTCTGTGCTGGCCCCACCCCAAACTCCATCGGGGGTGGAGCCTCCTGTAAGAGACCCCGCCCCCACGGCCCCACCCCTGCACGGGGCGTGGCCAATCCCGGCCACCAACAGCCCTGGGGTGGGGTCACAGGGGCGGGGTCACTGAGGGTGTGGTCACAGGGGTGGGGTTACTGAGGGTGTGGTCACAGGGGGTGGGGTCACAGGGCACAGGGGGTGGGGTCACTGAGGGTGTGGTTGCAGGGGCGGGGTCACAGGGGGCGGGGCTGGGGCAGTGGGGGGGGGCACTGGGGGTCCCGTACCCAGCACGAAAGCGGTGGCCGAGCCCAGGGCCAGGGTGGCCAAGGGGTGGAGCCACGGGCGTTTCCGGGGGCGTGGTCTGCACCGGGGGCGTGTCCGGGGGCGTGGCAGCTGCACGATGGGTTCCGCCCCATCCTCCTCCTCCTCCTCGTCCCCCCCCCGGGGGTCCCTGTGCCGCGAGTACGACACGGGACCCCCCCCGGGGGGCTGTGGCCGCCATCACGGGGGGTCCGGGGGGCCTTCTGGGGGCTCCCCGGAATCGGGGGTCTCTTTGGGGGGGTCTTTACCCGTGCACGGAAGCAGCACCTGAGGGTCTCCATTGGGGGTCCCGGAGGGTCCCAGGTGGACCTGGCTGGGGTGGGGGAGGCGCCGGGGGCCTCAGGACGGTCCCGGGGGGGCCCGAAAGCCATTCGGGGGGCTCGGGGGAGTTCTCAGGGTGTCCCCAGGGTGTCCGAGTGCCGCCAGTGGCTCCGGGAGGTGTCCGGGGGGGTCCCCAGAGCGTTCCGGGCTCCCTGGGTTGGGTCCCGGGGGTCCCCAGGGGCTGCAGTTCCACGCGCCCCGAAGGACAGACTTTGCCCCCGCTTGGATTTTGCCCTCCCCCACTCCAAATCTGCGTCCCCCGCCAGCCCCCAAACCCTCCCGAGCCCCTCGCGGTGACCCCCGAACCTCCGAACCTCCATCCGAGCCCCCCACAACAGCCGCGACCCCCCGAAGCCCCCGAATCCCTCCCGCGGTTCCGCTCACCCCGAGCCGCTCCGGCCCCGCCGCCGCAGGTGAGGAAAAGGGGCGTGGCCTGTGCAGGGAAGGGGCGTGGCGCGGTGAGCAGTGGGTGTGGAACTCTGGGCGGGGTTCGCGGCTGGGCGTGGCCTGGAGAGGCCCCGCCTTGGCGCCGCCGAGTCCTGGCGCGTATTGACGCTGACCCGGGGGGTTCTGGGGGGCTCCAGGGGGGACTGGGGGGTCCTGGGGACACCCGAAGGTCACGGGGGGACTCCGAGGTTTGGGACCCCCGGAACTTGGGGGGGTCCCAGGTGCTCTGGGGCTCGTCAGGAATGTTCGGGGGGGTGGATCAGAGGCTTTTGGGGGGCACCCAAGGATTTAGGGGGTCCGCAGGTATTGAGGAGGGGCCCCGGAGTTTGGGGGTCCTGGGGTTGGAGGTTCCCAGAGCTTGGGGGGGGTCTCGGTGTTTGGGAGACTTCAGGGATTGGGATTGGCGGGGATTGGGGGGTCCCGGAGGATTTGAGGGGGGTCTGAGGAGGCCCAGGAGGGCCCCGGAGGGTTTGGGGGTGCAAGTTTTGGGGTCTCGGCGCTGAAGCCCTCGGGGGTCTCATAAATACTCTCGTGTTTGCATTAAGTTACATGGGAGGGGTGGGGCGCTGTCTCCCCTGAGTGACAGCTGTCAATCAATCACCCGCGGGGCCTGGGCAGCCCGGGGTGCTCAGGCGGGAGGGGGATGATTGACAGCTGTCAATCACCTGCCGGCACGTCCAACGTGCCGGGGGGAGGGGAGGGGGTGCTGTTGAGCGACGGCTCCTGATGCTGATGATTGACAGCTGTCTGTGCTGTTGATTGACAGCTGTCAGTGCTTGCAGTGATTGACGGCTGTCAGTCCTGATGATCGAGCGTTGTCCGTAATGATTGGCAGCTGTTGCTGATGACCGGCGGGGCTCTGTGTTGATTGACAGCTGTCTGTGCTGATTGACAGTTACCGATAGTGATTGGCAGCTGCCGGTGATGACTGACAGCTGCCGGTGATGACTGACAGCTGCCGGTGATGGCCGGCAGCGCTGTGCGGTGATTGACAGCTGCCGACTGTGCGTGGTGCCTTTGGGCGAGGCATGACGGCTGTCGGCGGTGATGGACAGCTGTCGGCGGTGATTGACAGCTGTCCCCGGCGGTGATTGACAGCTGTCCCCGGCGGTGATTGACAGCTGTCGGCGCTGATGGGCGGCCCGCTCACCGCGGGCAGGTGTCGGCCAGGAAGAGCCGGACCTTCCCCCGCAGGAAGCGGCTCAGGACCCCCAGGAGCCGGGGGAGGGTCCGGACCCGCAGCGGGGCAGGGGGCGAGGGCAGGGGCGGAGCCTGTGGGGGGGCGAGGGGTCAGCAGCCGCCATCGACCCCCCCGGACCCCCCCATAACCCCCCAAAATCAAACCTGAGCAGGGCAGGGACCACCGGGAGCCCCCCCCCAGGACCCTCCAGAAACCGCCCCAAGGAGCCGCCCAGACCTCCCCGTGATGGTCCCGGAGCCCCCCCGGCGCCCCCCGCCCCCCGTACCGGCGCGGGCAGCCCCCGCAGCAGCCGCGCCAGGCTCCGCGCGGTCCCGTAGGCGCGGTCCAGGCTGGGGCGCACTCGGGGGTCCCGGAGCAGCTCCCGCGCCCGCAGCACCGCGGCCGCCAGCGCCGCCTGTCCCGCCGCCACCTCCTGCGCCCGGGACCCCGCCTGCGGACAGCGAGGGGCGCTCAGCGGGGCACCCCCGGCCCGCCCCGGGACACCCCCGGCCCGCCCCGGGACACCCCCCGCCCGCCCACACCGGGCTTTTCACAACTTCTCTCCGTTTCCCCCCCTTCCTGTCCCGTTCCTCTCCGTCCCCCCGCGTTTCTCCCCGCTTTCAGCCCAGTTCGTCCCGATTCTCCCGGTTCCTCCCCACTCTGCTCCGTTCCTCCTCATTTCTCCCCACATTTTTCCGATTTCTCCCTGGTTTTCCCCTTTTCTCCATTTGGCCTCATTTCTCCCCCGTTTCCCCCAATTTCTCCCATATATTTCCCCCCTCTTTGTCCCATTCCCCCACACCTCACCCCAAAATTCCCGATTTCTCCCCACTTCACTTCTTTTTTCCCCCGGTAATCCCCATTCCCCCACATTTCCCCCCATTTCTCCCCTATTTCACCCAACCCTGCCCCGTCCCCCCCGCCCCGTTTTTCCGCTTTCCCGGGATTTCCCCCGGCTTTTCCCCATTTCCCTGCGTTTTCTCTCCATTTTCCCGATTTCCCGGGATTTCCCCCGGCTTTTCCCCATTTCCCTGCGTTTTCTCTCCATTTTTCCCGATTTCCCGGGATTTCCCCCCGTTCCCACTCACGTCCAGGCTCTGCCACAGGTTGAAGTTGACGCCGGGGTCGGGGACAGCGATGGGCTCGGGGAGGTCACAGTGGGGGCCACACCCGGCCTGGGGAGGGGGGGGGCAGCAGTGACACCCCCGCCACGACCGCCGGGGGTCCCCGAGACCTCCCCAACCCCCCCACCGTGTCCCCAACCCCCTCAGGGGGTCCCCGTGTCCCCACCCGTGTCCCCAACCCCTCTAAGGTGCCCAACACCCCCAGGATGTCCCCCCCTTGATGTCCCCGTGTCCCCCCGTGATGTCCCCGTGTCTCCCCCGTGATGTCCCCGTGTCCCCCCGTGATGTCCCTGTCTGCCCAAGCCCCCAGGGGGGTCCCGACGCCCCCCACCCTCCCCAGCTCGGTGTCACGCCCCCCCAGCTGTCCCCGCCATGTCCCCGCCATGTCCCCGCGCCCCCTCACCGCCCCCCGCTCGGCGTCGCGGGCCTCCAGGATGAAGCGTTCGATCACTCGGGGGTCGCAGAGCGAGGGGGGGCCCTCGGGGGGGGGCTGGGGGCGCCCCGGGACCCCCAACAGCAGCAGCAGCAGCACGCACAGCCCTGGGGGGCCCGGGGTGGTCAGCGAGCGCCGTGTCCCGCTCCCCGCGGGGATGTGGGCTCCGGTCCCGGGGGG